CCAGACATGTGCCCTGACCAGGAATCGAACCATGACCTCCTGGTTAATAGGTCAATACTCAACCACTGAGCCAGGGTGGCCGGGTGTGTTTATATTTTTTAAGCCAGTTTTTATTAATGCTATCCAGCTGACTTGTGTTGTCTAATGGGGATGGGGGTTCTCCTAAAGAGGGAAAGTGGTTATTCAAATTATTAGAAATGCCATTGTTTTAAGAGTATACCAGTGCAGAATAAAACTTATGGGGAGGTTAAAGTTATCTTTTAGAAAAATCACCTTTTTTAATGGACATAATTATTTTACTTACAAAATAATTTTTGGTGGAATGCAGTTTAATATTTCTCACTCCCTCTCCCTTTCTCTTTGAAATCAATAAAAATATATTTTTAAAAAGTATTTGTTTAGCCCTAACCGGTTTGGCTTAGTGGAGAGAGTGTCAGCCTGTGGACTCAAGGGTCCCAGGTTCAATTCCAGTCAAGGGCATGTACCTTGGTTGCGGGCACATCCCCAGTAGGGGGTGTGCAGGAGGCAGCTGATCGATGCTTCTCTCTCATCGATGTTTCTAACTCTCTATCCCTCTCCCTACCTCTCTGCAAAAAATCAATAAAATATATTTTTTTAAAAAAAGTATTTGTTTAAATGAAGAATATTTCATATGGATGTCTCTGATACCCTTGATCAGACTTTTCTATTACAGATTTTTTCCTTAGAGAGAGAGATCAATGTGAGAGACAAACATCAATCAGTTGCCTTCCAAAAGCACCTCCACCCAGATAGCCTGCAAACTGGGTATGTGCCCTGACCAGGTAATGAACTGGCAATCTTTTTCGGTGGGTGCACAGGACAATGCTCAACCAATTAAGCCACACCAACCAAGGCACTGTTGGGGATTTTTAAAAATTACATTTTAAGAAGTGAAGAGCCCAAACCAGTTTTGCTCAGTGGATAGAGCATCGGCCTGCGGACTGAAGGGTCCAGGTTCGATTCCGGTCAAGGGCATGTACCTTGGTTGCGGGGCACATCCCCAGTGCGGGGTGTGCAGGAGGCAGCTGATCGATGATTCTCTCTCATCGATGTTTCTAACTCTCTATCCCTCTCCCTTCCTCTCTGTAAAAAAAATCAATAAAATACATTAAAAAAAAAAACAAACCACAAACAAACAAGTGAAGGAAGAGAATCTTTCCTCTCCCCCACCCTTTCTCCATTGTATTTCTAAATGGAGCTTCTATTGTAATCTCTGTTTTGGCTGGCTGGTTGCATTTTGAATTCTTTTTACTGCCCTCTGGTGGTAGTTACATACAATTTGTCATTAATTTGATTCTATCTGGACTTTAGATATAAATGCTAAATTGTATAGTTTTAAGATCCTTCTTGATTACAGATGTCTTGAACATTAAGTTTATCATCTTGATATTGTAGAAACTAAATTTTTAAATTTTTATTGGTTTGAGAGAGAAGAGGAAGGAAGAGAGAGAAACATCAATATTTATATTATCTGGGTCCTTCCTATGTAGCCTCTGTAGGTTAAACGATGTGTGCTTTGTTTGGTTTGTTTTGTGTGTTTTTTTAATCCTCACCTGAGGGTATGTTTTACTGATTTTAGAGGAGAAAGGAGAGAGAGAGAGAGAGAGAGAGAGAGAGAGAGAGAGAGAGAGAGAGAGAAACACATTAATGTATGAGAGAAACATCCTTCGATTGCCTCCCGTGGGGGGTCGAACTAGCAACTTTTCAGTGCACAGGATGATGCTCCAACCAACTGAGTTACACCAGCCAGGGCAAAACTTGTCCATTTTGATACAGTAAAACAAGATGAATAAGTCCTGGAGATGTACTGTACACACACTGGAAATTTGCTAAGGAGGTAGTTCTTAAGTCTTCTTACCAATTTTTATTTGTTAAAAAAATCATTCTTATAAAATTGGAAATATAGATCATTAATAGATAAAAGTCATTTAAAGTCCTTATGTAACTTCTTGCGTGGGAAACTTAATGTTTATGTTTTATATAGACTAAAAAAAGTGGCAAGCCTGGGCCATTCTTGCTATCTGGATCCAGAGACAAGACTATTAAGATGTGGGATGTCAGTACTGGCATGTGCCTTATGACCCTTGTAAGTTTGAATAACCTCACTACTTCTTTGTTTTCTTTCCTTTTCTATTTTTAAGTTTTTTGTTGTTTTTTATGGCTCTTTTTATTTTTTTAGTAATTCTTGTTGAAAGTATTACATATGTCCCCTTTTTTCTCCCATTGACACCTAGATTTCAGTATGAGGATATATATATATGATAGTACAGGATTGTGGACATTCCTGTTTGCCTAAGAGATTTCCAAGAGGATCTGTGGACATTAATCCAAGAAGCAGTTTTTGTAATTTGATAAAATAGCTGTGTTAGTTTTAGAGATTCCTTAGGTGCTAACTATACTTTGAAGTTTATGATAAACACATGGAAGTATCATCAAGAATTAATTAGAAATTTAAACTCTCCTCTAGTTGTGTTCTGAGCCAAGTTCAGATATATAATATTGCTGTTAGAAAAGGTGGTCCACATTTAAAATTAAAAGCATGTGCACTCCTCTTCTGTAACAACACAGGTCACTATTAATTCCCCTGGAAGTTTCTGGCTCCTATTTTTCAGTTGAAGGTGGGGGGAGGGGTATATCTTTTCTGCTTTATTTTGGTGCAAGCAATGTAATGTGATTTGACTTTTGTTGAGGCTTCTACCTCTAGTGATTGGTGGCTTTACTATAAGAGAATAAAGTTTTATAAATAAGGGCAAAAGCAGAGTAAACCAAAGCAAAGGACATGTCATCTTGGTTGTCTTTTTTATCTGCACTATCCAATAGTGTAACTGTACTAGCCTCATGCAGCCAATGAGCTAATGAAATGTGGCTAGTGAGACTGAAGGACTGAATTGTTCATTGATTTAATTTTGGTTTATATTTAAATAGCCCCATGTGATATTTTCTTACATTAGTCTGTAGATGAATTTGGTGGTGTTTTTTAAATAAAAATGTTATGCTTGTACATACTGCTTTGTAGCAGACTTTGTTTTTGTTTTGTAGCAAACTTAATTTAGAAGGTATATGACACTTGCTCATGTCATTAGATACACTGTACATTAATTACATGTAGTGTTTTGATGAACATCTTTGTTAACTAAATCTCTGGGCCTGGTTTTAATTATTTCTTAGGCTAAATTGAAAGAAATGGAAATGCTGCAACGGGGATTAGGTGGATGGGTGAATAGATATACGGGTGACTGTATACCCTTCACCTACAGTCACCAGTTTTTAACATTGTTTCTCTGTGTGTGTGTGTTTACCTACATTTTTTGAACAATTTGAGTTACTTGACTTGTAGACATGACAACATGTGTCTCCTAAGAACAAGGGTATTCTACCATTAACCACAATACAATTATCACACTCAAGAAATTTACCATTAATGTACTATATAATTTCTCCAATTATCCCAGTAGTGTTCTTTATAACTTTATTTTGCCACTAGGAGTCAGCCAAGCATCACTCATTGTATTTACTTGTTAGTTTCCAGTTGTTTTTTTAATCTAGAACAGCCGTGGGCAAACTACGGCCCGCAGGCCGGATCCGGCCCATTTGAAATGAATAAAACTAAAAAAAAAAAAGACCGTACCCTTTTATGTAATGATGTTTACTTTGAATTTATATTAGTTCACACAAACACTCCATCCATGCTTTTGTTCCGGCCCTCTGGTCCAGTTTAAGAACCCATTGTGGCCCTCGAGTCAAAAAGTTTGCCCACCCCTGATCTAGAAGAATTCCCTAGACTTTTTTTTTTTTTTTTTCTGTCTGTCTGTTTTTGGCTTTTTTTTTATGTGTGTGTGCGCATGTAGTTTCAGTGGGCTTTGAGTTACGACTTAGTATTTTCATAGATATCACTTAGTATTTTCATAGATGCCATTTAAGTAATTTATCCCTTCACTAAGTCAAATACCTTTTTGTTTTTAAGGTGGGTCATGATAACTGGGTACGTGGAGTTCTGTTCCATTCTGGGGGCAAGTTTATTTTGAGTTGTGCTGATGACAAAACCCTACGTGTATGGGATTATAAGAACAAGCGATGCATGAAGACCCTCAATGCGCATGAACACTTTGTTACCTCCTTGGGTATGTATGAGTTATGAGGTTTTTTTTTTTTTTTTTGTTTTGTTTTAAATATATAACAAGTTTTATGTAATAACCATATGGACTTTTCCAGGTAAGAAATGACCATGGCTTTTAGGGCAGAATAGATTAAAAACTTACTGCACATCTCCCACTGGGGATGTGCCCGCAACCCAAGCACATGCCCTTGACCGGAATCGAACCTGGGACCCTTCAGTCCGCAGGCCGACGCTCTATCCACTGAGCCAAACCGGTTTCGGCGAGTTATGAGGTTTTTTGAGCAGATAGATTTTGGAGTGCCAGGTGTAACAAGTTTTATGTAATAACCATATGGACTTTTCCAGGTAAGAAATGACCATGGCTTTTAGGGCAGAATAGATTAAAAACTTAGTGAATCCCTATCATTTGTTTTAAATTCTCCTTTCCTTAATTCTCTCTCACCATTGTCAACCTTATAATACAAAAATTACTTTCTCCATTGCACAATTTTGGTTCTGGAAACTAGAATTGTGAAGAGGATGCTTACTGATGACTCTAATAAGTAATTTTTCTCTCCTACTAGTTTTAAATTTCTCAAAGGAAATATTACTCAGCCCTTTTCTTCTGGCAGTTATAAGCTATCATGTACTAGAAACTCAGGGAATGCTATTTAAGTTTAATAAGCATCTTTTAAAATATCTATATATATAAAAGCCTAATATGCAAAGTGTCTCCTCGGGAGTTCTACCAACTGGGAGTTCGATCGCTTGCTGTGACGTACACTGACGGCTGGCACAGGGGAAGGGAGGCCCCAGCTGCCAGCCACTAGGGACCCTACCCATGTACGAATTTCGTGCACTGGGCCTCTAGTGTGTGTGTGTGTGTGTGTGTGTGTGTGTGTGTGTGTGTGTGTGTATTTTACTGATTTCAGAGAGGTAGGGAGAGGGAGATAGAGATGGAAACATCAGTGATGAAAATCATTAATTGGCTGCCTTCTGCAAGCCCCCCACTGGGGATCAAGCCTGCAACCCAGGCATGTGCCCTAACCAGGAATCTCCAACTGTGACCTCCTGTTTCATAGGTCGACGCTCAACCACTGAGCCACGCTGGCTGGGCTAATAAGCATGTTTACTATCATCTGGACCTGAATCTAGAAGTGAAGAAAGTGAATACAGTAAAATATAATACATTAGGGTATGATGGATCTAATGGTGAAGGCAAAGCCTCAGCAGAATAGGGCTAATCCACGTCACAAGATGGTTACAAGGATTTAACATGAATTGAATATAAACCATTAGTATTTAGCTTGGAACATAGTATATGTTCAGTAAATGGATACATAAGGTTATCCTTGTAGATTTGAGTGTTTATTCAGCTTCATTTGGGATGGTGGTAGTGGAGGTAGGTTTGGGTATTTTTTTTGAGTTGGTAATAACAGGTTTTAATTAGTAAGTCTTAGTTTCCCTAATCTAGTTGATACCTTCCAAGGGTGGATGTGTGGGTGTGTATAGAAAAAAGTAGGGTATTCCTGGCCCTTGGACTTGCGTGTGTTGTGGCTTATTAAAAATTTTATCTGTTGCCGGAACCGGTTTGGCTCAGTGGATAGAGCGTCGGCCTGCGGACTGAAAGGTCCCAGGTTCGATTCCGGTCAAGGGCATGTACCTGGGTTGCGGACACATCCCCAGTAGGGGATGTGCAGGAGGCAGCTGATCAATGTTTCTCTCTCATCGATGTTTCTAACTCTCTATCTCTCTCCCTTCCTCTCTGTGAAAAATCAATAAAATATATTTTTAAAAAAAAATTTATCTGTCTCAACCTGATTTTACAAAAGCCTTTTCTTTTTCTTTCAGATTTCCATAAGACGGCACCATATGTGGTTACTGGCAGTGTAGATCAAACAGTAAAGGTGTGGGAGTGCCGTTGATTGAGTCTCTTTTGGCCCCTCCTCCTGATTTTCCTCTGGATGCACTCTGATGATACCATGGTTACCCTATTGAGCTCTGTTTAAATAAATATTGTCCTTTCATGTAAATTATTCTGGATGTAGATTGAGCTTATTAAATGTTACACACAAAGTATTCATGCATGGTGAATCCAAATTGTATACTGTAAATTTACATACGTTGTCTAGAAGTACCATAGGGTTTAAAAACCTGGGCTGGCATTGGTCACACCAGGCCTAAGAAGGCAGAAATTGAATAATTGAACTAGGGCACTAAGCTGAATAAATTGACAGTGTCATTTTATGTTGGATTATTAATTCCTGTTTTTCTTTCTGCTATCTGTTGGTGCCTGACTTAATGGCCTCATTTGGGGGAAAGCGGTGGTTATTAGGGTTTTTTTCTGAAATGTGTATTTATGTAACATCACTTAAGTGTGCTTAATAAATCTTTAAGGATGTTAGATAATAAGGCTACAATTCAAAATCTTCTGAACCATCTATGTAATTATTGAGGATTACACATGGAATTTTTGTCATGACACATTTGCCAAATCAATAGGATACATTTGTTTTGGCAGCCTATCAAGCAAAGGCTAGTGGTATATTTATGTAAGAAAATGAGTGTAAATCTCAAATAAGAAAAATTTCAGCAGCTAATAGCAAATCATTTATTTCATTTGGGTCTTAATGCTTTGTATGCAGATTAAAAAATACTGTAATACTGTAAGCTTCTATTCTCCACATTAAACACACTTCTAGTTGTATTCTCCATACTACTAGACTGTGTAGTGATGTGACTTCCAAGTAGAATTTAATCTTCCCATTGAGTGTGTCATGATACAAATCACTATTCATTTTTGATGTTTTTTAGAGATGTGCAATGTGCATTACATAATGACAGAAAGATTGAAAAGCTTATGTATGCTCATTTTAAGGGAGAGGGAGAAATATAGCAGTTTTGTTTTTCAACAGGAATCTGACCAATTTGAACTGTGTTTAACTTGCAAGTTAAAAATGACAGGGTTTAATGGAGCGTGCATAAAATGTACTGTGTTTTCACCTTTTGTTTATATATAAATGTTTATTAGTATATGGACCTATCTATTAAGTGGATAAGTCTGTATATGTATATCACACACATACAACCTCCATGTCCTTGGGCCCTGGGTTTTTGAAGAAGTGCTAAAATACACAAATAGAATAAATCTTGCTGTGGAATACCGTGCTTTAGAATAAACCCTTTTTTATCTTAACGCTTCTGAAAACTAGGTCTGAGTCTATGGGAATTTTTCCCACTCACAGGAAAATCGCTTCTGCCTAGCCAGTGTGGCTCAGTGGTTGGGCCTCAACCTATGAACCAGGGGGTCCACCCAGGTTTGATTCCAGGTCAGGGCACATGCCCTGGTTGCGGGCTCGATCCCCTGTGTGGGGCATGCAGGAGGCAGCCAATCAATGATTCCCTCTCATCATTGATGTTTCTCTCTCCCTCTTCCTTTCTCTCTGAAATCAATAAAAATATATATTTTTTAAAAATAATTTCCATTATCTGCCTCTACCCCCAATTTGGCAGTTCAGCATTTTACATTTCCCTGATACATTGTGTATTGTGATCCAAAGTTACTACAAGTAAATTTAAGAGAATTTTTGTCTATGACTTTGGAAACAATATTCCATTACAAATTATTAAAAAATTTTATTGCTTAGCTAACCAGGTTTTTTTTTAATGGTTATTTGAAAAGTTAATGAAATAACAAAACAGTTTAACAAAGAAATTTATTCTGAATTACATTTTATTCATTTGTTTAATGTGGTTTTTAAAACGTTCCTTTTAGTATTTAACGGAAATTTGGTTTCTGGAAAAGACAAAGGGTTAGAATTAATGTCCTGTAGATACACAGAGAATAGATTGTATATTTACTAAAAGTTTTATGTCTAGCTTGTGTATTTTTGTTTGTTTGCTTATTTGTTTTTAATTCCTGAAAGACCTCTCTGGAAGGAAAAGTGTTTTTGAGAACTAATGGCTATTTTTGAGGACAAAAATTACAACTTAAGTTAATTTCTTAAACTCAGTAGAGTAACTTTCAGGACAATACTGCCTCACAACCCTGCTCACACTGAGAAGTCTTTTTTTGTTTGTTTTCTCCTTAGCTGTTCTGACTGGATTTTTCTACAAAAGCTATGGAAAATATCTTTGTTCTTGTTTGCTGCTATTTCCTGTCCTGTTTTAAGAAATATACCTAGAAATGGTGCATCTTAACATTTGTTTGTACATGTATAAATGTCTTGTATTTTAATTCATTTTTAGCATGTAGCAACACAAATTGTTTAAGGGTAAGCCACAACATCTAGAAATCAGTCATAGATACAAACAATAAAGGAAAAAATGGTACCGATTTAGGAGGAAACAAAGCTGCTGTCCACTGGGTTTTTTCTCCCGCAGCATACAGTGACTCTTGTTGACAAAGAAGGAGAGACATTGTTACTCTATAGACAAAGTTATCCTTCCTTGGGAGATTGCCACAGCCTGCTGCTTAGTTGAATTACCAGACATCCTCCATTTAAGAAGCAGCGAACATTGAATCTCAGGGATGGTCCTCAACTGGATCCAAATGTAAGGAGCCCTGTTTGAATAATGAGGGGGTGGGGGAGAGTGATCCATCCAGAATCCGATTTTCAGAGGTTTCCTGTACTGTTGTTTGAAACTGCCCTGTTGATGCCCTTTCTTCCTGTTTTCTCTGTCTGCTGTCTAACCCTGTGCCTTGCCTGGGATACGTACAATGATGAGGTTACTGGTTTGGATTGTAAGTAGAGGAATTTATTAATTGGTTTAGAGGTTCACTGCTGCTTTGTCACTTTCTCAATCAAATTGGCCATTTATTTATGAAATAAAAAGCTGGTAGAATCGCATCCTCAGATGATTATTGACTTGTGTCTGTGTGAAAAGACATTCCAGTGCCACCCTAATATAACGTGCCCAAGAAGTCCTCGCTGCACTCTTGGAAGTGCAAGCCACGGAAACTGGTTTAGACATCACTTGGAGAATAGTTGCTTTTTGACATGGCATCTTGCACTTTAGGAGACTAAGACCGTCCAGTTTCGTCCATGTGTGGTGTGACCAATGGTGTGCCCAGAGCACTGCTCTAAAATCACTAGTGTTAGCAAGTCGTCCGGGCCATGGGGCGCTCACTGTAGTCTTTGGAAGCTTTGGCTCTAGATCACCAAGCCCTGTCTCCTTACTGTCAGTGCCCTGCTCTCCTGTTTGCCTCTTTCTGTTTCTGTGTGAACTTCCAGGTAATAATCACTCATTAAATAGTTTTTTGTAAATTTATTTAAAGGAAAACTATTTAAAAGTAAAGGATATTTTGTTTGTTGACAGTGGTGGCTTGATAATCCTTAAGCAACTGACGTTAAAAGTGTTGGATTGAAGGACAAGGCACTTAAAATGGTTCCTCTTTCTGTCCAGCTGTATATAAATCCAGTGTGTTAATCGAGATGATGCAAAGAAGACTCTCCTGGTAGAGAAGCAACATGTACAAAATTGGTGGAAAGGGCTTTTTTGTTTTTGTTTTTTTCCAGTGGGGTGGGGGGAGGGCAAGCTGGATTTACAAGTCACAACTGGACTGAACTGGCCTTTTTATCTTTCCACTATTATCATGTAAGTAGCTGCTTTCTTGTCCTGCCTATCCTTCCGTCATCCCTAAAGCTCACTCTGAAGATGACAAAAATAAACACAAAATCTTCGGGTTAGAAGTTGATTCTGACTGACACTGACACGAAGGCAAGCATTGATTTCATGAACGTTGCAGAGGTGGTGTTTGAAGAAAACAGTTCCCCAGATTGTAAGAGTTAACTGAAGATGTTGACACAATTTTAAAAAATCAGTAAAGGAATGTATATAATATTGCTCTTGTGTTTTACAGTAAGATTTGTTGCTCTCAGACTGTGTAAAACAAAAATTTATTCATGTTTTCTGCATATTAAAAAATCTTATTGTACCAATTGGTAAACTATTAAATGCCTATAAACCTAGATGTGATTTTTTTTGTTTCCTTGTGCACAGCTTTAAAACTTTGAGTCCTCATAGGAGGTGGGACTGTGTTAAGCCCAGTCATAGAGGAAGACAGATGGGTGGCAGGGCCTTGATGGAAGGCCTTTTGTCCTTTAGTAGTGTCAGCACTGCCTTTGCTGTCTGCTTCGTCCTCACTATTTGGAGCATCAGCTGTAGGGGCTCTTGTGGAATCTGCCAGCTGCAGACTGTTTCCAAGGACCCTCTCCTCCTCTCTGAGCAGGCGCCCTTCCCTCCAGCAGCCTTTTCTCACAGTGTCTCTACAGCTGAGGCCAGAAAGCTGAAGCCAAGAATGACCTATTATAGCCCCTCGTAAAAAGACTTGGCCTTCTTATGGTGATCAAGGCCCAGAGAGTTTTGTTTTACGTTTTGAATGATGTGTGCCAAAAGAGTGCTCACCCTTGCCCCAGGAAACCCCACAGCTTTCTCTGTGCTTTAAAGTGCTTTGTGTTTTATTTTTAAAATGATTTTAGACATTGATTTTTTTGTTCTACATTATGCATTTTTTGCTTGATTTTTCTATTGAATTTATAGGGGTGACACTGGTTAACAAAATTATATAGGTTTCAGGTGCACAATTCTACGATACATCATCTGTACACTGTACTGTGTGTTTGCCACTCCAAGTCAGTGGTTGATTTTTGTATGTTCCCTGACCAGGGATCAAACTGCGACCTTGGTGTATTGGGATGATGCTCTAACCAAATAACATGTTGGACATCCTGCCTTTCATCCCCAGTCTACTGCTCAGTTAGCGCCCAGTGTCTTTAGGACACACGAGAAGTCTACAGGCATTTTTATGGATAAAGGACTTGCTGAATGCTGTGGTGGCTCTTACAGCCCAGTTGTTTCCTTGCCTCCTACCGGCAGTAGCCTCTTCCCCCCAAATGGGAAGCTGGGCCGAGAGCACCAGAGTAATTTGAGGTTACAGTTCCCTGCAGTTTCCTTGCAGGGCTTCTCTTTCCCTAGGCTAAGATCCAGACGATGAGCCTGACCACTTTCCCTAGGGGTGTTCTAGCATTAGGGAATTTAGCTGTTCAAAACCTGTTGAGTGACTCACTGACATGTCACACACACATCAAGCTTGGCTTCTGAGATTCAAGGTTATGTCTGTCCCTGATGAAGGATGAGGGATAGGAAAGGGGAAAACTTGGTGGAGAAATGGTGTTGATCCATGTACTTAAACCAGGTGATGGCTGCTGTCCTTGTTTAGTCTTTGGTGAAACGACTTTCATACAGACACAATTCTCAA